TCACATTTGGTGAGGGGGCTTGCCATCGCGTGAAGTTGGCGGCGCTAAGGGCCAAGAGGATCCAACATGAAATTGGCGCGTGGAAGTCTTGTCGAGTCACCCTGGAGGCCGCAGATGCCGCGAGTGGCTGCCTGGTTGTCACTTCCGATTTCTGCCGATTCTGGTCTCAGCGGGCTGGATGCTTGTACGCCATGTTTTCACCGGATGCGCTACTACAAGCCGCCAATGCAGCATGGCCACGAAGCTGCGATCCATAAATCCGAACTGTGCCGCGAGGGATGGGGCACGGGCAGCGAGGTTTTCCAAAGTCTTCTTCAGCATTTGGCCTTTTTGTCAAACATAGGACCCTCTTCCAGATTGGTTTCACGTTTTGTTTGTTGTTTTTGTGCGGCCATTTGGGCCGTGGACACTTGCTCCCAGGTTTGCTCAGATGGCTCAGACGCAGCAGTGGGCCTTTGCGCAACTCCGGCAAAACGGGAGGCTTAGAGTCTAAGAGCCCTTGGCACTCGCTAGGGTTGCGTTTTGTGCGAGAGGGGGGAGTGTGAAGAGGCCCCCGCCCCGCAGAGACACAGGCGCTGAGAAATCATTCACGCTTGACAGGCGTGGGGTTCCGGGATACGTTTGCAAACGTAAGCTTTTGGCAACATCAGCTTGCTTGGTGAGAGACTTGCTCCGGGCAAATGTGCTCCGCACATTTGTTTGTCGCATCCAAGGCAAGCCGCACAGGCACGGCTCACGGGCATGGGGCAACGGCAGGTTTGGATCCGAGGTGCCACATGTGGTTGTGCATTTGCGGAAGGCTAGCTTACTTGGGTTAAATGGGGGCTGGTCCTGGGATGGTCAAACTTGGCTTAGGCTCTTGCCGGCATCTTGTTGGGGCTCCATGGCTTTCGCAGCAGGCCGTGTTTGGGTCATTGATGAATGAACATGCAAAAAGCAGCGAAATCTATGGTGGATAGAAAGCACTATGTTTCATGATCTCCACCAAGGGGGCCCGCAAGTGAAACTCATACCTAGCAGCCTCTTTTCCTTCTCACGGGATCCTCTAGTTGCGTCATGTCTTCCGAACTTGATCTTCTCCGATTGAGGCGCCAGAGGCTGCGCCTGCGGCTGTGCCTGCTCTGAAAGAGCCGCTGGACATGCAGGTCGTTCAGCTGTTTTTTGTTTGTTGTTTTTTGCAAAAAAACCTGTCTGGGGTTGGGTTCTCGTTTAGTTGTCTATCCGCGAGGGAGCGAGGATTGGCAGGGGTTCGGCCTGAAGTGTAGCATGTTTGCAGCATGCCGTGTAAACGCCACTGGCCGGGAAATGGCCGAACAGTCGGCTTGCCGGCTGAATTGCCGGCAAGAACGGGACCGATCTCAAGTGTGTCGAGTTTACCGCATACCGCAGGGCCGAGTTTGCAGCATACCGCGCAAGCGCCGCCAAGAACGTGACCGGTTTCAAGTGTGCCGAGTTTACCGCATGGCCGGGACGACCTTGACTGTCGGTGACTGTGCCGGCCCAATTGCAACCAGCGCCGAGGTGACGGGAGGTGCTGGAGGCCGCGTGCCGGTGGGATTTGGTCCACAGAGGCGCAGCGATAACGAGGCGCGGTCGTCCGTGTGCCGGTGGTTTGGCTCCAGGAAAGCAGCGAGAACGAGCTGGTCATCCGTGTGCCGGTGGGATTTGGCTTGGCGGAGGCGGCAAGGATGGAGGTGACGGCGGCGTGTGCCGGTGGGATTTGCGTCTGCGGATGCAACCAACGCCGAGGTGACGGGAACGGCGGCGTGTGCCGGCGGGACTTGTTTCTGCGGATGCAACCAGCGCCGAGGTGACGGGAGGTGCTGGAGGCCGCGTGCCGGTGGGATTTGGTCCACAGAGGCGCAGCGATAACGAGGCGCGGTGGTTCGTGTGCCGGTGGGATTTGGCTCCAGGAAGGTCCACAGAGGCGCAGCGATAACGAGGCGCGGTGGTTCGTGTGCCGGTGGGATTTGGCTCCAGGAAAGCAGCGAGAACGCGCTGGGTTCATCCGTGTGTCGGTGGGATTTGGCTTGGCGGGGAGGCAGCAAGGATGGTGACGGCGTGTACCGGTGGGATTTGCTTCTGCGAATGCAGCCAGCGCCGAGGTGACGGGAGGTGCTGGAGGCCGCGTGCCGGTGGGATTTGGTCCACAGAGGCGCAGCGGTACCGAGGCGCGGTCGTTCGTGTGCCGGTGGGGGTTGGCTCCAGGAAAGCAGCGAGAACGAGCTGGTCATCCGTGTGCCGGTGGGATTTGGCTTGGCGGAGGCGGCAAGGATGGCGGTGACGGCGGCGTGTGCCGGTGGGATTTGCGTCTGCGGATGCAACCAGCGCCGAGGTGACGGGAGGTGCTGGAGGCCGCGTGCCGGTGGGATTTGGTCCACAGAGGCGCAGCGAGAACGAGGCGCGGTTGTTCGTGTGCCGGTGGTCATCCGTGTGCCGTTGGGATTTGGCTTGGCGGAGGCGGAGAGGATGGAGGTGACGGCGGCCGAGTGTGCACCCAATTGGCGCGCGTGCGCTTTTCGATGTGCGCAACATCACATGGAAAAGGGCGCGCGCAGCGCGCGCGCGGCGCGAGCAGGCCGCCGTCCCCTGTGCGCCGCCTTATAGCCTAAAAACCTTGCAAGCAAATAAGAAGGAGCAAGCCAGAATGTTGTTCGCTGACAGTCATTTACAAGTATTTGTTCGCATCTTGGTTTTTGGGTCCCCGGCTCTCCTTGTTCTTTGTTTTCCAAAAGCATCGCGAAGGGTTATTCCGCTGGGTTCACTTGAGTTGTTCTCATGAGAGTGATTGCAAGGTGTCATTGCAAGGAATCATCATCATGAAAGTCATTGCAAGGAGCCATTGCAAGGAGTCAGTGCAAGGAGTCATGAGAGTCATTGCAAGTTGCAGGGAGCCAAGTGCATGGAGTCAAGTGCAAGTTGCAAGCGCACGGAGTTAAGTGCAAGTTGCAAGTGCAAGGAGTCAAGTGCAAGTTGCAAGTGCATGGAGTCAAGTGCAAGTTGCAAGTGCAAGGAGTCAAGTGCAAGTTGCAAGTGCAAGGAGTCAAGCGCAATTGACTTGCGAGGAGTAGTGCCGACGACACTCTATGACACTCTACGAAAATCGACCCTCTGCGAGGATCGGCGTGGTCGAGGTGCAAAAACTCGAGGTTTTTCTGCAATTTTGTTTTGGCTCGCGCGACCTTCTGCGGGGGTCGGCGTGGTCGAGGTGCAAAAACTCGAGGTTTTTGCGACTTTTGTTTTTCGAGCTGGTACCGGCGGGTCGCGGGTTCGATTCCCCCCTGGTCCGCGGGCGGGCTTCGCAAGCTGCACGGAGCAACTTGCATAAAGCAACTTGCGCAGAGCAACTTGCGCAGAGCAACTTGCGCAGAGCAAGTTGCACAGACCAGTTTGCGCAGAGCAACTTGCGCAGAGCAACTTGCGCAGACCAGTTTGCGCAGAGCACCTTGCCTGGAGCAGAGCAACTTGCACAGAGCAACTTGCGCAGAGCAGCTTGCACAGAGCAACTTGCAGGGAGCAACTTGCACGGAGTAACTTGCACGGAGCAACTTGCAGGGAGCCACTTGCAGGAACCAACTTGCACGGAGCAACTTGCGCGGAGCAACTTGCACAGAGACAGTGCAACTTGCGCAGAGCAACTTGCACAGACCAACTTGCACAGACCAGTTTGCGCAGAGCACCTTGCCCAGAGCAACTTGCGCAGAGCAAGTTGCGCAGAGCAACTTGCACACGCTGCAACTTGCGCAGAGCAACTTGCGCAAAGCAACTTGCGCAGAGCAACTTGCGCATGTGCCAGGCGGGGCTAAACAAATTTGCCGCGCGTGCGCCAGGCCAGGAAAAAGAACGCATCCTGCAGCGTTGGGCCGACCTCGCTTGCGATGTTATGCTTTCGGGCCAACCGTGGTCTAGTTTTTTTTTTGTTGGGGGGGGGGCGCATCCAAGTTGATTTGGGATGTCCAAAAGGTCCCTGGCCCTCGATGGGCACGGAATCGAAAGTGGCAAATGCAGGAACTCAGTCACTCGTTTGTACTGGCTTGTTTTTGCAAGCCCCTTGAAAGGGGGTCCAGGACCCAAAGCAAGTCAATTTGCGCTTCATAGGGGCTGCAGAAAGGATGGGACGCAGTGAATTTCCCGCTGTCAGATTGCTCCAGCCCCAGGTTGCCGGGCCCACAGGCGGGGGCAGCTTTTTTGAGCCCGCAATCAAATCTTTTTGTTTGTGCGACTACGCTTTTATTTGTGGCTTTATTGCGCCAAAAGAGTAACAGGGTAACTGGTAGCCTCCCACCCCTTGAAGACTTTCAGGGGGGACCTTTGACGAGTTTGGCAAACCAATAAGGTTCTTCAGCTTCCTCGGCCGTCGGTCAAATGCGGCCTGACATCCTAGGTCATTTTGTGATGTTGTCTCTAATTCAAGGAGCAGGCGGCATGGATTTGTGCTGCAAGTTGTGCAACTGAGAACATGCTTGATGCCAGTTTCTACAGTTGAGAATTCTGCATGGCTCGGGGATGACGGGCAATCGCAAGTACTTACCCACCAGCCACGACCAACCAACTGAGACCACCACCTTCTTTGGGTTGGTGAAAAGAAGCCCCCCTTTTTCGGGACCCGTTTTGGTGACATCTTGTTTAAGGCTGAAACGAGTTCCCCCGCAAGCGCAGCGAGGCGCATGTAGAGCCCGAGCTGCCAGTCGAGGCTGGGTCGTAGGCGCCGAAAGGGAAGGCCCCAAGCTTAGGGCTGTAGGTAGGCTGCTTTGGATTGCTTGCGGCCCTCCAACCAAACCAGTTACCTAGCAAAAGGGGCCAAGTCTCCAAGCTGCTGGAAAGGCGGGGCCTTGTGCCACAGGGAGGTGGCTGAGATCGATCAGCTTGGTGCGCCCGGCCCAAAGAGAATTCATCTGTTGCACACAGCCTTTACTTTATCCTTTAAGCCAAATCCAAAGCTTCCAAAGCCTTCAAGGCTAGCCTCAGCTCATCTTCTGCCCGCACAAAAAAGCCTCCGATTTCCAGAGGCAAGTAGCTTGTGAAACCCGGCAGAGCTATAATTGCTCTGCTGGTCCATCCTCGCCTTCTGCCGTTGCGCGGTTCATGGACGGCTCCAATGGCGCCAGACAGAGAGCTGCATGGCCGCAGGGATGGATTTGTCTCCAATTCCCCGAGTATCAACAGCTATTGGAGGTTTTCAAAGGTTTTGAATCAGAATTACTCAGCGGTTCTCAAGATCTCGGGATCTATGGTGTCTTTTCTGCTTACGGGTGGCCCTGCCTTAGGTCCGGCACGGGCACTGGCAGCACAGGGGACTTGGTGGGCCCATCTGCCAGTATGAACAGCTGGGCGGCGAGCACCGTGAACACCAGCACTGGCTTCCGCCGCGACATCAGCAGCCCAGGCACTGGAGGCACTGGCTCCTCGGGAAACGCAAGCCCGGTGGTGCTCGAGGCGGGGATTTGGAGTTTACGGGCCCCGTTCAAGTTGGGTATTTGTGGTTACGCTGCGCTAGTGTATGTTTGCCCTTTTCCTGTCAAGGCCAGTGCTGTACCTGGGGGCTCTTGTGGAAATATGATAGTTGTTGTTGGATTTGCCGATGTGCCGCGCTGAAGGAAGATGAGGATGCAATGGATGCATCAAGGTCAAGGCGCACGCTGCTCATTTGCGCTTATGATGCTTTTGGCGAGCGCAGAAGCCGCGCTCAGAGAGCAGATCAAACACTGCAGTCACTTTTTGGCACAAGCATCACTACATGGAAGTGCCAGGTTTCAGGATGTTTTGTGTGGTCAACTGTTTCCTGTCGACATGAATGGGTGGCTGAGGATGCGGGCAACGAGACTTGGGTTTGCGCTTAGCTTGTCATCTCGTCCAACGCCACAAATCGCCCATATGATCCAATGCCAACGCCCACAGGGATGCTGGGCATAGAATTGAGCCCTTTCGATTCAACCCGTACTCAGGACGACCGCTGCTGAATCGGATGCTTTGGCGTGGCTCGCCTGGGTTGACGAGAGCCACTGTCATTGTTGGGGCCGGTTCATTGACACAGCTGTTTCGCTTCACAGGCCACAAGGCACAATGTGAAGGCCGGCATCAGCAAAGCTGAGTAGAGTTGACTGCTTTTTGCTTTACGTTTCCGAAGATGCTGGAGGGTGGTGCGCTGGGGTGGTCTGGGATACGGCCAGTGCACCACTCAAACTCTCATGCTTCTGCCTTGTGCCTAGGTTAGTTGTTGCGCTTGATGCTTCTTAGGTGTGCTCAAGCAGCAGCTGTGTCTGGTAGGGGTGAGGTTTGTGCTGCTGTTGCGCCACTGGCAGCGTGCACCTCGCGTGGCAAAAAAAAGCGGGGAGACATTTCCCCTGGGTTCCTCTTTGACTTGCATTGGTTGGGATTTTCACTGGTCCTCTTTCACATGTTGCCTTCTACAAAGCGGGGGAAGCTATTGGGGCAGTTCAAGGCTTTGGTGACCTCTGGGCTGGTGGTGGACTGCAAGCTGGTTGAGCAGTGTGATGGTCTTCTTTTTATTGTTTTGTGGAGGGGCGTTTTGGCTGAAGCCTTGGCTCCAGCAATCTACAAGCTTCCGTACAAGCCTCACTGCTTTTTTCGATCCATGTCACTGGGACATTTTGGCCCCTTGTTGCAGCATTTGTCGCCCACGTTGTTGGCATTTTGTCATATTCTCAATTGCTGGAGACCGCGCTCTGTGGGCAATTGCGTGTTGGCTGACATCGAATCACCCGCGCTGCGGACTCCCGTTTTCTACAACTACCAACGCCCTACGGTCAAAGGCTGTCAGGCATCTGCGCGGGTTTCACGGCCGTTTGTCCGTGCTTTGCGCGCTCAGGCTTCTGTGCCTCTGCGTTTTGTTGATGCGGATGGCTTGTTAGCAGGAGCCTTGCCACTACTGATGTTTGCAGCCTGGGTTTAAGCCTGGATGTGGGGTGGTGCGATCCAGAGTCCGCTGGTTTAGCTTCCTGCCGGACTGGTTTCGGAACGGTGGGTGCCTGGCTGGCTTTGGCCCGGTCTTGCGTGCGTCGTTATTTTGGCACTCTTCGATTGGGGGGTGTTTGCAGTCAGTGCGCTGCATGTGTGCTGGCTGCAGCTGGCCTTGTGGTTTTTCAGGCAGTGAAATTCGTGGTCTGGCGCAAGCGTGATAGCATCAGGGTTCAAGGTGGTGCGCTGGGGATATGGCCAGTGCAGCGCTCAAACTCATGCTTCTGCCTTCTCCCTATCTGTTGTTGTGCTTGATGCTTTTTATGTGCAGCTGTGTTCGGGTAGGGGTGGGCAGCTGTGTCTGGGTAGGGGTGGCATGCGCCCTGTGTCTGGCATGGGGCTGGCTGCAGTCAGTGCGCTGCATGTGTGCTGGCTCTGCGGCTGGCCTTGTGGTTTTTCATGCAGTGAATGACAGCATGAGGGTTGAGCCGAAAGTGACAGTATTGCCAGCGTCAAAGTCGGTTTTGTTTTGCTCCAGGAACACCTGCAGACCAGGTCGGGGTACATGCTTGCTTTTGCGAGCAGAGGCACCCTAAAAAAGGGACGGCGGAGACTCGTTGTTGAGTATGTGCTTTATTCTCAGCGTCGATCCTTGAGGATAAAAGTGAGGCTTGGGGGTGCTGAGGTTGCAAGAAGAAGTCGAGGACAACAACGTGGTGGAAAGGGGGAAGGAGCTGACAGCTGTCGCAGTTTAGCGCGGTAAAGCACAGGCGACCATGATTGCCCCTGCTGCTATTGGCCTGCCCCGGCTACGAGACATGTAGAACTTGTCTTTTGTTTACCGGCCATGTAAGGAGGTGTTGGACATGTTTGTGCAACTGTGCTCTCCCGGAAATGTTTCGTCACCTACGCACGAGAAACTCTGTGGTTTGTACTCTGGGTTTGCCTGCAGATCGAGGACCAAATGTTGACGGTTTGCCCTTTAGCCTCTATGTTGGACCTGCCAAAGACGTACCTCCAAAAAAGAACGTGAGTTGCAGTTTCGCGTCCAGGACCGCAAGCAGCAAGCCTCGGAGAAGGCAGTGCCCTTTGCGGCTTGGCCGTTGGCCTGCGGGCAAGGGCAAGCGGCGCGTTCCCATGCCTGTGCATACGCATCATATTTCTTTCATAATGATGAATCTATATATATATATAGATATGTAGATGTATATGTATATGTATATGAGTTGTTTTATTGTGAGCCCCTGCAGGTGCGTGCAAATGCTTTGTTGTTCTCCAGATAGCTGAAAGCAGAGGGGTTCTAACGTCTCAGAAGGGAAAATGATTTGCGAGATTGGGCTGGTGCTGTGGGTGCAGTTTGGGGTGCTGGTGAAGGTGCTGTTTAGGGCGCTGTTGAGGTGCTGGTGAGATTGACCCCCCGCTGCTGGCGGGCGTGCAGGTGTAGGGTGCAAGGGGGCATGCAGTTTGAGGTGGTGTTTTGGGATGCTGTTTGGGGTGCTGTTGACGGTGCGGCGTTTTGCGAGATTGATGCTTTGGGGGTGCTGTTTGCGGGTGCCCGTGCGGGTGCATTTTTGCGAGATTGAGTCCAGGGTGCAAGGGGGCATGCAGTTTGGGATGCTGCTTGGGGGTGCTAATTAATTAGTGACGCAAGTGCTGTTTCGGGGGGTGCTGTTGGAGGTGCTGGAGCACAATCACAATCGTTGGCAGGTTTTCGCTATTTGTGGTCTATGCTGGTGTAATTTTGTTGTTTTGGGGGAGGGGGGGGAGGGTTAAAGGGAAAGGGAAACCGCCACTTTTCCCCAGGGTGCTGGAGCAGGCGCACTTGTGCGATTGATGGCAGGGTGCTGGGGGGCATATGCTTGTGTAGTCTTGTTTGGGTGTTTGTTTGTTGTTTGGTTGGTTTCTAGCAAACTGCTTTTGTGTACTGCTTGCCGCGCGCGATGGGCCCTGAGCCAGCCGCCACATTCGAGGATGAGTGTGTGTGTTTTTGCTTGCTTGATTATGCTTGCCTATTGTTTCTTTTGCTTGGTTTTGCTTGCCTTTGCTTGCTGGCTGGCTGGCTTGCTTGCTGGCTTTCGCGCTCGCTGGCTGGCTGGCTTGCTGGCTCGCTCGCTCGTTTGTTGGTTAGTTTGTCTGTTTGTCCGTCCGTTTGTCGGTTTGTTTGTTTGTTTGTTTGTTTGCACGGCGTGAGCTTATGCATGTGCGAGTAGGTTTGAATGGGCTGGTGCCCGTCATGCGCACATGTGGTTTCATGCCAGTATGGCTAATGTTTGCTTGCCAGCGCCTAGGGCCTAGTTGCTCAAGGTTGCTTTGTGTTGTCACAGCGTTGCTGCCGCACGCTTTACGGTGGTCTCTCCAGCGCCTTCGTTCAGGAGCCATGCCCCGCGCATGCCTCATGCCTCACTTGTTTCAAAAGGACTTCCCTTTGATGCACGGCAGCTAGATGCAGTTGATAGGTTCCTTGCGACCAAAGATAAGAAAGTCGAGACAATTCAGGTAGAGACTCAGCCTTTCGCCATGCTTATGGCCGGCGTGGTCCTGGCCAACTCCGTGGTGATTGGCCACTTGGGCCATTTTTAGGAACCAGCCTCCAAGAGAGACGTGTTTTTCTGAGCCCATCTCAGCATTCCTTTGGAAGGAGGTTCTAAGCCTTTTCCACAGCGGGTACACAAAGCCCAAAATTGCCAGAAGGAAATGGACATTTCTCACCACATTTCCATGTTGCGGATTTTGTGCCGCGGGTTCTTCGAGCATTTGCGAGGCCTGGAGCTGGAGCTGGCAGGGAAGGAAATCGCCCCTGCCTTGTTCTCCATCGTCAACAACGGTTTTCTTCTCATCTACATGTGTGCCTCAGCGCAAAGAGTCTAAAGCGAACACGGCTTCTGACTTGGTGTGAGCCCCCTCGTGCTTTGAACCTTGTAGGACCTTTCTTTTCAATGCGTGTCTTGCCAGAGGAAAGCATTTGGGGTGTCGGCCTTCCCCCTTCACAGACAGGCAAAAGAGTCCTCGTTACGAGGAAAACTTGAATGCCCCCTTCGGCAGTTTCCTGCCTCCTTGCTTTGGCATCCAGGCGAGATCTTCCTTCGCTTCCTTGCTCGCGGCCTGGCGGCGATCAGGGATGCTCTGACCTGCTGCTCAGATGCAGTCAGTGGGGTTTTGGGAGTTGATGAATGCAGGCTGTGCTCGTTTCTTTTGGGTGTGCACCTGGGCTGGACATCATCCACATGTGTGAGTTTCAATCATCACGCAAACAAAAGGGTCTCCATGAACCTTTGAACCTTTCTACCCCAGACCCCAGCAATTTCCACCCGCCAAACAATCAGAGAAAGACAGAAAAGAAAAGAAGAACGAAAAGAAAGGAAGGAAGAAAGGAAGCCCGAGCCCCCACGGAGGAGCCACGCGGACGCGACGGAACTGAGGCCTAGACATTGCTCTGGTGCTGCTCACCTTCGTGGAGCGCATGGCGGCCGGCGCCTCCATGGCCCGCTCGCTGCCCTCCATCCGCTTGCTGAGGCATGGCCTGGTCGGAAGGGGCGAGTCGCAGGAAAGGGAGGGATTGTTTGGAACATGCTGTTTCAGCCACGGACCAAGACCTGCCACAGTTGCGGTGGTGCTAGCTAAGTTGGGAGGGGAGGGCTACCCCCTGGGGGACTCCTTTGAGCCTGCGCTCGCCAAAATCGCACAAGCATCACAAGTCAGCCATTACTTCTTTTCATCCATAGAGCTCGATAGGGGCGCGGCAGGCAAAACGCTGTTGGCCTTAGCGCACGTGGTGGTATATTGGTCGCAGCCATGATCTCTTCGCGTTTTGCGGCAACAGCTCAGCCTTGACAGACCAGCAACCTGACGCGGCTTCCGAGCCCCAAATGCTGCACCTGGCGGAGATTCATAGAGATTGGTAAGAAAGGGAGCTCCCTCAGTTCATCAAGTAGCTTCTTATTTTTGAATCAAGTTCTGACAGCAGTGCCAGCCATTTTTTGTTTGGCAAAAAGTGCCTGAACCAAATTGGCAGGTTGAGTTTTTACCCACCCGGCCCACCCTTGGCGACGGTTCCCCTCAAGGTTGAAGAGTACTTTTCGGTCGGGGCCAGCGCAGTATGGCTGCGATCACCTTTTGGCCTCTGCGCGGTAGAGAGCTGAGCGAGTGGGATTTTGCTCAGCTGCGCAGCCATGCAGGAGTGACTGTGCATGTGCCTTTTTGGGCAGTAGGGTGCTGCTCGTCCGGGGACAACCAACGCATCATCCTGTGAGGAACACAGGTTGAGCTTGCGATGCGAATGGGGAATCAGCGGGAGACACTTGCTGCGTACAAGCGCATCGCCATGCAACGAACGCATCGCCTCCAGGCTGCTGCGACTGATCCGGGCCTTCAAGCGCATGCGCAAGAGCAAGGAGCTGGTGGTGCTGCTCAGCGGCACCTCCAAGGCCGCCAGGTGGGCCGGGTGCCCTGAGCTCTCGGTGCGTGTTTCGAGTGGGATTGAACCAGCCCGTTCGCACAGTTCCCCCCCCCCCCCACACGTGTCTGATGTTTTTTCATGGAGGCTAGTATGGGATTCTCGCACCTCGCAAGGTCTGCGGCGCGAGTTTTTGAAATCAGTTTTTGGGTTTGCGCTGGAAGCATCCCCCCTTTATTCCCCCTCTGCAGAACAGATTTGTTGATGTTGTTCGCAAAGTTCATTTTTCGGAGGAAGTTCTTCCCCCACCCAGTAGGGAGGGCATCCGGCACGTCTACACGAATTACGGGATACAATGGTAAACAAAAGGGGTTAGTTTGGTTGGGCGTTCTTGAGGTTACCGTGTCGGGCTGCCATGCATCTTGCATGGACCGTTGCAGGACCCTTTGCTGGGTTTCCTTGATCCTCTTTACCGTGGCTTGGATCGCGGCTGCGTGCACCCGCCAGGCAGGGTGCGAAGCGCTTTTGCACATGAGCCTCACGTGGGGCGACTTTGCAATCCCCTTGTTTGTTTTTCCTCCTTGGTGTTTCCAAAGTAAGGATGGCATGCAGGGAGTCTTTGGTTTCGTGGACCGTACGTTGTTTTGGTGGGTGGGCCTGGGCCATGTCCTGTCCGCTTCAGCCTTTTGAGGGCCAACTGTCCTGCCAGGTGGTTGGCAACTCGCCGGTGTGGAACGGCAGTGGCCACCTCAGACCTCGTTGCTCGCAATGGTTTGCACGGCGAACTCAGCTGAGTGATGGTTTTGAGGCACAAACCCGATGATGGACTTTGAGGCATTCATGGCCTTCGACAACAGGGAGTACTTTGGGAATATGCCAAGGAGTGTCTTGGACAGAGGGCAGGGCTTTGGCCGGCGCACTTGCCACTGAGTAACATGAAAGCTGGCCTCAGGGCTATGTGGGCATCCCTGTTGGTTTTCTGGGAGTGCCGATCTCCCAGGCTTCCTGTCCATGATCCAGGTGATCACCAACGCTCAGTGGGCCAACCACATCGGAAGGCCCATTATCTTGCGCTACCCCGCGCTGGCGCCTGGGTGGAAATAGCTTGAACATGCAGAAGCCCAGAAGCACTGGATGGAATTGAGCAGAGCTGCAACCTGTGGTCCTCCATTCAGCCCACCGATGGATCCTCTGGCTAGGCCGTCTTCTTCGCCTTCTTCCTGCTATCCACCACCTTCGGCTTGGCCGGGTGCCTTTTTTTCCGAACGGCATAGAAAGGGAACTTCGCGGAAAGGCATCTGACCCCCAGGTTGAACACAGGTGAAGGCCATGATTTCCTGTGCGTGAAATCACTGAGGTCACATGCATCATCTCCAACATTGTGCAGGCCAGCCGCTTTGTCTTCTCCCTCGAAGCGCGGAAGAGTCTCGGTCAGGGGGTCAGGGCAAGCCGCCAAACCGCTGACTCCCGGCTCCTTTATCCACTCTTACTTCAGGCTTGGGAAGCTTATAAACAGTCCTTTAATGCTCTATTGTTTGCTCCCTTTGTCTCACTACGCCTTTTTCCAATCTTCTCCATTCCAAAGCTGGCAGGACTCGTTGGAGTCTTCCAGGGCCTTTGACAAGGTTCTCAAGGAGCTGGACCGCGAGAATCGCGCCTTGGCAGCCCAGCTGGAAGGTTCTTTCGCCATGGGCTCAGTAGGTCTGACCTTTGGGTCCAAGTCTGGGGGATTCGGAGCGGGAGTTGGCGAACGCATTCAGCCAAGGCCGGCTGTCCGGGCTGAGGGCTAGGCAGTTGCTGCTGCTCATCAATGAGGAGCTGACACGCCCGTGGCCAGGTGCCCCTTTCTAATCGAAAACGGAAAGCTCTGCGGGTTCCACATCCACTCAAACATGCTAGATCCCTCCTTCCAGATCATGAGGCCGACAGGGCGCTCCAGCGGTCTCCGAAATAGGAGGGATTCCGAAAGGGTGCAGGTGCAGCGGATTACTAGCCGCTCTGCTCAAGATAGCATTCTCAGATGTCATTTGTGCCATTGAAGGGTGCTAAGCAGACTCAACCCAAGCTGATTCGACACAAACTCGAGTTTCCTTCCTTCCCACAACCGCAGCGTCTCACAGGGGACCTTTGAAGAGGAAACTCTGTGTTTCAGGTTCCCACAGGTGCTATGTTACTGGGCGGAGAGTTTCTTTGTTAAGCACAAAACAACCTTCAGCCTCCCTGTCGCTCCAGGATGGCACTGGCGAGCTGTCGCAGACAGAAGTGGGTCGTGCCCTGGAGAACGAGGCTCGCGCAAAAAAAAGTTGAAGCTGTGCAATGCGGGCATGTCTGGACATGCTTGGACCATGTTCCTCTATCCCATTGGTGCCCCTCATGGGTTCGCCCGCAAAAGGCTCACACCTAAGGCGCGTATTGCCCAGCCTGGCTTATACTTCGCAGGCATTTGCCTCGCTTATTCTGCCAAGAGGGGGGGGGCAGCGGTACAGAGCCCGAAATTCTCCAACTCGAGGGCTTGCACATTTCCAAAGTTAGTGCAGTGTTTGTGCTGCTCCCCAGTGCTTTCGCTGATCGCAGGTCGCTGCTTCCTTGCCGGTTCCAACTTGCCTGTCCAAGCGCGTTCAGACCAATACCAGTAGAGCCGGCAGAGCCGGTGGGCGGAAGTTTCTAAAGCGAGAAAAGTGCCTATAGGAAGAGCTTTGCTCTTTCTTTTTCTTTCTTTGTTTCTTTCTTTCTTTCTGTCTGTTTGTCTGTCTGTCTGTTTGTTTGTCTTTCTTGCTCCTCTTCCCGAAGAGTGTATCTTTGGCCCCCACACGCTGTGCACAAGAGACAATCCGAAACTAACAGAAGGAGTCAAAAGCCCGGGGAGTTTAAAACAGGGACCGCCCTACCGTAAGAGTTTATCTTTGGCCTCAACACACTGTATGCAAAAGATCAGTGCCCTACCTTTCTGACAGGGGGGAACTAAAACAGGGGGAGTCAAGACAAGGCGCGCCTTTTTTGCTACGCTCAAGACCTGCTGGCACTGGCTGACACGCTTAGAGCTTCAGGTTTGAAGTCCAGTATCTGCACTTGCGGTGGCAGTAAACGAACACTCACAGTGGCAGTTAAGGCACGCCCGGTGACCTGAATTGGCGCCCCGGACATGAGCATCAAGGACACGAGTTGCCATGGGCCACGACGGCGCATCACTGCGATAAAATTGCAAGCAGGCTAGATGGAAGCAGATCTGAGTTGCTGGCAAGATATCGCCCCGGGCACGCAAAATGCTCCTGGGACACCATGGCGAGCGAGCGACCCGAATTGGCACGCCCGCGGTCGGCGCAAGTTGCACCAATTGTCTGGTTTTCGACAGTGATGCTTTGCTGGATGTGTGTGTGGGACTGCGTGCTTTGCTGTATGCTTTGCCCCAGGCAACCCAACTTGCTGTCGATAAATGCTGTGCAGTGTGTGTGTGTGTGTGTGTGTGTGTGTGTTCGTGGATGTGTGTGAGTGCGTGTGTGTGTGTGCATGCAGCCACGTGTAGGCTTCAAGCTCAAAAATTGCTGCGGGCACGCATGCAAGGGCACAATTTCGCACAACGCAACCACCGCTAGCTCCCCAAGACGGTAACACAACAGCTATCACGTCTTCTCTTTTTTTTTTTTGTCTTCTCTTCTCTTCTCTTCTCTTCTCTTCTCTTCTCTTCTCTTCTCTTCTCTTCTCTTCCTTCTCTTCTCTTCTCTCTAGGTCGTGGCATGCGTGTCTTGTTTTCGCTCTTGCTTTCTCTCTCTCTCTCTCTCTCTCTTTCTTTCTTTCTTTCTGTCTGTCTTTCTGTCTGTCTGTCTGTCTGTCTGTCTGTCTGTCTGGCTGTCTGTCCGTCTGTCTGTCTTTCTCTTTTTTTTCTTTCTTACTTTCTTTCTATCTAGCTATCTATCTGCACTTTCTCTTTCTCTTTCCCTTTCTTTCTCCATCTCTTGATTTTTTCTTTCTTTCTTCCTTTCTTTCCTTATTTCTTTCTGTCTTTCTTTCTCTCTCTCTCTCTTTCTTTCTTTCTTTCTTTCTTTCTTTCTTTCTTTCTTTCTTTCTTTCTTTCTTTCTTTCTTTCTTTCTTTCTTTCTTTTTTCTTTTCTATCTAATCTATCTATCTAGCACCTGCGAAAGTGCCGCGCCTGCCACGAAATCTGTACTTGACCTTGCGAGCGTGCTGCGCCTGCCGCGAAATCTGTACCCGACCTTGCACCCTTAGGCTGCCAAAGTGCTGCGCCTGCCACGCAAAATGGACCTCCGAAAACGTCTGCGCGAGCATTACAGTGGGCAACATTCTGAGCCCGTGGCGAAACCGTGGCGAGACCGTACGCTGCACAGGGGTACCCTTCGCGTGCTTCGCATGTCTGACTCTACTTTTCGTATGACGGACGTTTTCTAACTAAGCTTCCTTTGATCAATGAACCCAACCCCTTGGAACCTCTTGCTTGCTCCGTCCCTAATCCGGGGCTCGTGGCCTGGCCAGGAGTTTGTGGAGATCCTGCGGGCACTGGAGGCATCCGGACTGGAGGGATGCGCTGGGCCAGCTTACTTGATTTGCAGGTAAAATTAGCGAACGCCCGCTATGAAGGTTTTATGAAGTATTTTGTCATTTGCCTAGATCGCTGCCTTTTTAAGAATGTGATAAGAGGAGCAGGCGAAAATGATTGGCCATTAAGCCAGCTTGGACCAGTTGAAGAGGTGGACTTGCGCGATCGGATCGCGGCCCAGCGCCTGTAAGACACAGCCCGCGCAAGGTGCCCGTGATGAACTCCGAGAACCTCATGCGGCTGTTTGACACCACTGGGCGCGCCTTGGCGCCAGGAAATGTGAGCGCAGCCTTGCTTCTTTCGGGCGTGATTTATCACACAGCGCTTGCTTCCATTGTGCTTATTGATCTGCTTGAACACAGCCCTGCCGCTCGCATGTTGCCCGCGCAGGTGGCCAAATCAGCTTCACTGAGCACCTTGGCGTCATTAGTTCTTGCGCCCTTTGGCCTGTTAAACGGAAAGTTGGTATCCGGAAACTTGGCAGATTGGCTTGCGGAGGAGCGTGCCACGGCTTGTCCCTCTGTCATCGCTAATTGCAGGGCGCACTCAAAAAGACATGGCCCCACTTTGTGCCCACTAATGCATGGGACAGAATTCCATGCCACCAGAGAGGGAGAGAGAGTCAGGGAGAGAGAGAGAGAGAGAGAGAGAGAGAGAGAGAGAGAGGGAAGAGGGGTTCATTGTGTTTCATAGGGTTGTAATAACATTACGGAAGGGGTGTCCCCAAGCGATGAGCCCACAACTCAGGCTCGTGCAGGGGATCACCTCGATGCTGGAGGAAGGGATCCCGGTTTGGGAAGGATGAGAAAGTGGATATGGCTGGGTTTCTCTTAAAGGGACAAGAATATTCAGGGCCTTTCAACGGGAAATCAAAAGGACACAAGGGGCCCTCTAGTTTGAACAACACATTGCAAGGGGATTTGGGTTGCAGCCCGGGTGTGTCAAGCAGCGAAGCCGCGAAGCGCAGAAGCGCAATAAACCGCAGAAGCCGAGAAGCGCAGAAGCGCAGAAGCGCAATAAATCGCAGAAGCCGAGAAGCGCAGAAGCGCAGAAGCGCAATAAATCGCAGAAGCCGAGAAGCGCAGAAGCGCCGACAGGGAGCGAGGCGCAGCAAAGCACAGAAGCGCAGCACAGAACAAGCGGAGCAAAGCGCAGAAACAATGAAGCGAGCTAAAGTGCAGAAGCGCGCAACGCAAAAAAGCATAGAAGCGCAACAACGCGCAGAAGCGTAGAAGCGCAATTAAGCGCAGAAGTGTAGAAGCGCAATTAAGCGCAAAAGCGCAATTAAGCGCAGAAGCGTAGAAGCGCAATTAAGCGCAAAAGCGTAATTAAGCGCAGAAGCGTAGAAGCGCAATTAAGCGCAGAAGCGTAGAAGCGCAATTAAGCGCAGAAGCGCAGTTAAGCGCAGAAGCGCAAAAGCGCAAATAAGCCCAGAAGCGTAGAAGCGCAATTACGCGCAGAAGCGCAAATAAGCAAATAAGCGCAGAAGCGTAGAAGCGCATTTAAGCGCAGAAGCGTACAAGCGCAAGAAAGCGCAGAAGCGTGAACGCACACTGAAGCGTAGAAGCGCAGTAAAGCGCAGAAGCGCAGCAGAGCTTCTAGGCTTCCAGGCGTGACTCGGCTTTCGGCTTCTCGGCTTGTGGGCCTCTCAGCGACGTAGACTTTGGCGGCTGCTATGCTTCAATTTTGAATGGCAGTTTTTGAAAGCAAGGGCGCGTGGGACTCTAACACTGTGCGTGCATGGTTGCAAGTCGTCAAAAGAGGCCAAAAAGAAGTCACGTTGGCAAAATATTCGAGATTTGTGCCGAGAAGGGAAGTGAACCCCAGAAACGAAATCGTCTCCGCAAGTTCAAAGGCAGGACGGTGTTTGAGTGAGTCAGATGCTCGGGTATCAGCGTTCCCGTCGGTCATGCTGCCGAGCGCTCCACGCGGTCGATTCCCGAGATCAATTTGCATGACCTTTCCCTGGACTTTGAGGCTGTCACAAAGTGGACCCAGCGCAGATATGACTGACACTGCGCTCAGTTTGTTCATGCTGCAAGCGGCCAGAGCATCGAAGCGAATCGAGGTGTATATCGAGGTGTTCAATGGAACAATCCAAGATCATGCCCTTGCGCATCCGCTCCATCACTGGTCACAATGACTGGGTGACACAAGCGGTGGGATTCAACCACGCGCATCACCCGCAATGCCAACTATACCCGTGACCATGCGAAGAATGGCGCCCGGCCTGGTTCTGTCAGAACTTCACGGACCCTCGCCGAAAGCGCGATGCCCAAAATTGCATACCGCACGCGCGCGACGCAAGGTTTCTTTGACGTCATAGATCCAACAGGATTCAAACCATGGCATGCGTAGCACTCCGACTCGGGCACGTGAATGACTTCGGCGTACCTCCAATTTGTTGCCTTCTTCAAATTTGAGATGCTGCCAAAGACCACTTCGACCACGGGTCTCCCCGGGCTGCTGATGGACCACTCGGGCCCAATTCCAGTAGAGAGCGTAGCGGGCGGTTTCGAAGCGCAGCTCGATCTGCTCATCCTTGGAAAGGTTCTCATCAACCAAACCGGTACACTTGGTTGACTTTCTGATCAGGAACGGACGCATCGTGTCGCTGCAAATCCTGCGCCCCAGGACTTGTACTGCCCATTCAATCACGATCAGTCGTCGCCATGAACAAGAAACAGGCGCGAGGTCCTTGCCGTCCTTGATGCCTTCGATGCTGCCTGATCTTGTTGCGACGAAGGCTCACGCGCATGCGGTTGGACCATATGAATTTAGGGCCGCGTAAATGATGACCTTGCTTGAAATCCAAGCTTCAGTGACAAGGGCCTCCCCGTCTCCGGGGGCGTATCGACATCTGTCAACCGCGATGTTGATAGGGCGGTCGGCCCTGGCCCCCCCGGCCTTGCGTTCAAGCATGGCCGCGCGACAACTCATTGCTTCAATGCGACGTTCTGCAGGAGAAAATGCCGGACATCAAGAAATTGGCACGTGTTGCGCGTCTTGAAGAGATGGCCGTTCCCTGAATCATGGAGCAAATCGAAACCCAGATATTGACGCAGCACATGGACTCTTAGGAGCGGCCAAGGAGGCTCGGGCATTATGAAAGCTCTGTCTTGTGGGGCAGGGTTGCAAAAGTCTTTACGAGCCTGTTTTCTGCCTACAGCGCTCCGCGGGGAGACCTGACGCCTTCTGCACTTGAGCTTATCCAGAAAGTGGCCCGCTGCGTCACCCTGAGCTTTGAGCGCACCAAGGAGATGATCAAAGGTGCCGTGCTGTTCCAAGGTACGCAGCACGGCTAGCGGTGGCATTGCAGGAGGAAGTCGAGGAGATCAACCCCGACGATATGTGTGTCTGCCACGGCGGACGATTTTTGCAGACTTCTGGTTGATCTGCTAATTTTCGTCGAGAGTGAGAGCACATTCAGGTGCTGGCAAGACCCCTCTCCCCGGCGTTGTGGGTGTGACAAGGAACTCATGGTGGGAAGAAGATCAACAACCCTGGACGCATCCCCGCAACTGGAACTGGCGCTGCTTTTCATCAGGAACTATGGCAGACATCAATTTACTTGTTCAAATCTCAATCCATTTCATTATTGTTCATATTTGCCGGAGATCCGGTACAGGTGTAGGTGTTGCCTCGCGAGAGCGATGGCCAGTGGAGACGGAAGATCTTAGCTGGCCTCTGCTTGATCATCAAGCGCCTATTCACGTCAGGGCCTCATGCCGCTTGTGTTTCTGATCCCGAATACTTGTCCTCCTGTTTCACCGTCGGACACGGAGGGTGTATTTTCCTAAATGATGATTTATCAACCTGAATAGTCATTGCGCAATTAAGCGTAGAGGCGTAGATGCGCAGTAAAGCGTAGAAGCGCAGTAAAGCGATGTAAATTGTAGAAGCGCAAATAAAGAATAGAAGCGCAAATAAGCGCGTGCAAGCGCAATTGAGCGTAGAAGCATAGAAGCGCAACACAGCGCAGAAGCGTAGAAGCGCAATTAAGCGCAGAAGCGCAAAAGCGCAATTAAGCGCAGAAGCGTAGAAGCGCAATTAAGCGCGAAGCGCAGTAAAGCGCAGAAGCGCAGAAGCGCAATACAGCGCAGAAGCGTAGAAGCGCAATTAAGCGCAGAAGCGCAAAAGCGCAATTAAGCCCAGAAGCGTAGAAGCGCAATTAAGCGCAGAAGCGCAATTAAGCGCAGAAGCGTAGAAGCGCAATGAGGCGCAATAAAGCGTGAGCGTGTAAGTGCAGAAAAGTGCAAAGGCGCAGAAACGCAACAAAAATGATAAAGCATATAGGCTTCTAGGGCTTCTAGGCTTCTAGACTTCTAGGCTTCTAGGCGTGACGCCAGTATTAGGCTTCTAGGCTTCTAGGCTTCTCGGCTTCTAGGCGTGACGCCGGTATTAGGCTTCTAGGCTTCTAGGCGTGACGCCAGTATTGGGCTTCTAGGCTTCTAGGCTTCTCGGCTTCTAGGCGTGACGCCGCTATTAGGCTTCTAGGCGTGATGCCAGTATTAGGCTTCTAGGCTTCTAGGCTTCTAGGCGGGATGCCAGTATTAGGCTTCTAGGCTTCTAGGCTTCTAGGCGTTACGCAACCCAAACCCCCCTACTCTCGAACAACACACATTTATTTTTGTTTGTAACTCCCATGGTTGGTGGGCAGAAGTCCTAATGCAAAAATGGTGCCGCGCGAGTGTTGCCCACGCCGATGCTTGGCTCGCAATGCAACATGTGCAGGACATCCACCCCAAGGACTATACGAAGCTCGCCCTTTGGTCCGATAGTCTGATGAAGCCGGGGCCTGAGCTGCCTGAGCTGTTTTCTCCCTGCCCTTCCTCTTCAGGGCCTGGGGCACCGCCCGTTCCCGGCATTTGATGTGATTGGAGTTTTTTTTTTTTTGGGGGGGGCATGCCATCTATTACTTCGCTTCTTTCTCCCATTGGCGCTTTGAAGCCTGAGAGTGGGGCAAGGCGCATGGAGATCTTGGAGCGTCGGTGCACGGTCATGGCGGCACATGCCTGGGCCCCGGATATCCATCAGTTCGCTTGTCAGGGACTGTGCCGGGGGGCATCGCCCCCTTCCAACAATGCATGGATCCTTGTGTTGGTTTTGGGGTTGGAGGGGATGAGGTGTTCGTTTCCCAGGTCATTTGTCCCCCAGCACCGAGAATAGGGATGCCCCAGATCTGTTCTTGTCCTAGTCCTTCCCTTGAGCACGTGTGGCGGCTCGGAAAACGGAGGTGGTGAACCTGCGCCGCAAGAATCTTGGCGGGCAGGAAGGCGAAAAAGGACCTCCAAAGAAATTTCGCTGATTACAGAACTCACACATGCCTGTCCACCTCTGTAAATACAAGTATTTTAATACACATCCGCACTCATTTCTGGAGGGAGGTAGATATAGGTATATTTGTAGATAAATCGCAAAACAAGCAGCTGAATCAAAATGTGTGATATGTACATACACAGGTTTTCTTTTCAGGGGACCCCCAAGACACCCATTCGGCTGTGATTGTTATTTGATGGCTGGGGAGCCATCCGAGATGGCTGGTGGACTTTTTGAACATGTTGACCCCTGATTTATTTGAAGCAAAGCTTCGTTTGTGAATCAGTGGATCCCTTTCAGGAATCAACGTTGCAGACAGCCTTCAGTGATAAGGGTACCCTGGCCTCCATTTTGAGGCTCGTGCCGATGTCTTCTGTGGCCCTGACTCAGGAGTAAAAGTTGCATGTTGTACCTGCAGTGAGGGAGAAAGCTGTCTCATTGGACCTGGCATGCCAGGGCTGCTCCCACTAGCTTCGGGCTGGTAGTTACCCCCTGCACCCCTAGGATTGAGGAGTGCTTCAACTGCCTTGCTTTGTTCCTTGACTCTCGGGCCGCGTGGCTGCACATAGCTTTCCAAGAAAAATGTTGGCCCGTGGCTCTCACTACTCTGCCTTCCGGTTGCGGTTGCCAGGAAAACACGGAGCTGTACTACCGAGCTTTGCGTGCCATCCGCTCTGCGCCGCCGCCAGTGCCGGTGGATATCAGGGAAGCGTTGGGCCTTGAGATCAAGGACAACAAGCGCCGCGGCAATGGCTGGCTGCCTTGTTCGAGGGCGGGTGAAACATGTGGCGTTTGATTGAGTTAAGTCGGGTCTTCGTTGCCCTTTCAACTCTTGGGAGCCCAGGGTCAAGGAGAACGAGGCGGAAGCCTTGATGAATTTTGCCCGGCGCTACATAGCCGCCTGGATGCCTTGCAGAGTTGCAGGCGGCGTTTGCGCCCGGTTTCAATCAGAAAAGGCAAGAAAAGCCAGAGTCCCTTGCCTGCCTGCGGGCCCCAAGGCTCCGAAGCAACAAGCGAAGAAGAAGATCATCGAAGATGACTCAGACAGCCCGACCAGCCCACTTAGGCCGCTTTGAAGTCACCGACGTTGCGTGAGCCCTGGCGCACATGGTGGCTTGTCTCTTGTCAGGGCCCCTTCGTCCCCATGGCACACCGGCCTGCGAGTGGCGGCAGCTTGGCGGCAACCATTTCGGCGCACCAGGGCCGCATGGCAGTCTTGATGTTCTTCGTCCAGTTTCCCCCCCCCTAGCTCTCCCAACCAATTTGCGTAATTTTTGCTTCAACTCATGATGCCATCAATCCAATTGTAATTATTGGTTTTTCCCGTGTTGTGATGCTCCGCTGCAGATGGTAGATTAGGATCAAATTGCCCGAGGCGACTCTGACATGTCACAAGGCGGTGCTGTCGGATCCCCCGCCGGCTATCGCGGCCGCGGCCCCGGTGCTCCGGGAGTGCCCAAAGGTCCTGAAGGAATCAGAGACACGAACCGACCCACCAACCAGCCAGACCCGACCTGACCCAACCCAACCGGATCGGACCCGACAACCCTACCTGGCCAACAAACCAACCAACCAACCGAGCAAGCGACCAAGCAACTGTCGCAGGCAGCCAAGCAACCAAGCAAGCAAGCAAGCAAACAAGCAAGCAAGTAGGCAATCGAGGAACCAGCAAACGAGCGAGCAGCCAGCCAACCCTACCGGCCGACCGACCCGCCAACCAAGACCAAGCACAGAAGTAAGCAGGCATGCACGCAAGCAAGAAAGCAGGTAGGCAGCCAGCCAACCAACCAACTGAGCAACCGAGCAACCAACGGGCCATTTTCAAATGAGTTTCCTTCGGTGTGTCCTAACGGTCACCGCTGGGCCAATTTGAAGAGTCGCCTTACGGTGGGTGGAGTTTGAACGGGACACACAAGGAAACCAGACCTACTGCGGCCTTTGCGCCAGTTGCCTGCCAGTTGCCTCCCTTCATGTTGTAACTTTTGGCACTTTTGGTTCCGACAAACCCTTCCTGTAGCTCCCACGGATACCAGGGTTGTGACCAACGGGACCATGTTGGACCAACCTTCGGGCTGCTCGAACACACATATGTATATATATATATATTTATATACACATATGTGCTTACCCCCCGCCCCGCGCAGGGCCTACCTTTCCACTTCAAAGACATGGATGGGTTCTGAGCACGTATACGCATGAAGAGTGCTGTTGTTGCATATTTTGTGTGGGAGACAAGCCATGTTGAGTAACAACAGCGAAGAGTTTAGAAACTTTCAGGACAGTTTATAAACTATGTCAAGGGTTTGACGGTTTTCCCTGCAACACCTGGGCACCTGGGGCGAGGTTGAGAAGTCTGGGACCGGGGAGGGAGGGGGGAGGGGGGGTGAGAAGTCTTTACAATCTTGACAAAGTTGGTTGAGTCACATCTCACCCCCCCCCGCACTTCCAACACCCCACCGTGCCCACCCCCCCCCCTGACCATGAAGACTTCTCAGGGTGTTGGCTTGTTGCAGGAAACCGCCAAACACCCAAGAAGGTTTGCAAACTTTCCGGCAAGTTATTATACAGGCTTAATGCGTAGCAAATGGATACTGTTGTTTGGGGGGAAATGTTGTTTCGTGAGAAAAAACAATGGAGGGGTATTTATTTCATGTTTTTCGCTTTTCGCTTTTGGCTTCTTCGCTTCTTGGCTTTTTTGCTTCTTGGCTTCTTGGCTTCTTGGCTTTTCGGCTTCTTGGCTTTTTGGCTTCTCGGCTTCTGGGCTTTTCGGCTTTTTGTTGGTTTATGCAGCTTTTGGTGGCTTTTTGGCTTTGGCTTTTCGCATCCTCTGCATTCCCAGTTCCTCTTCGGCAGGTGGCGTTTTGGCTTTTGCGTTTATGCGGCTTTTGGCGGCTTTGGCTTTTCGCATCCTCTGCTGTCACAGTTCCTCTCTGGGCTTTTTTGGCTTTTGCACCCTTTCATTGGTTTTTGGATTTGGCTTCCCGCATCATCAGCATCACCAGTTCCGCCCTATGAATCATCACTTCTTCGAACATCATGGGGGGGAGCCCCCCCCCAACCCACCCGCTACTGTTTAGATATGTTTAGATTGTTTGCAGAGTAATTGCACCCCTATTTGAATCAACACTTCTTCAACCATCATGGGGGGTGCTGCCGCCCCCCCCAACCCCCCCGCTACGTTTTAGATTTTCTACAGAGATTGAATTGCACCCCTAGTTGAATCATCAATTCTTCGAACATCATGGGGGGGGCTGCCGCCCCCCCAACCCCCCCCCGCCCCCCTACTTTTTAGACTTTTTGCAGAGATTGAACTGCACCATACTGCACCCCTATTCGAATCATCACTTCTGCGAACATCATGGGGGGGGCGGCAGCCCCCCCCCAACCCCTCCGCGTTTTTTTAGTGATTTTTGCAGGGACTAAAATGCCCTCCTATTTGAATCATCATTTTGTTGACCCCGTCAACCCGCCAGCTACTTTTTCGATTTTGGTACCCACAATTTGTTGGTGATGCAAGGGATGTTGGTTGAAAACGATGCTGGTGATGTTGACGGGCTAGTGTAAAATGCGTCAATTTCGCGAGTAAAATACGACATTTTACTGGCCCGACGAAAAACGTAAAAAAAGACACACCCAAACAAATCCGAAAACAATTCCCAGAATAACTCCGCACCCAAAAACAATCTTCGGTCCAAGGGAACAAAACAGTGTGTTTTGCGGCATTTTGTTGGACCTCTGAAATGTCCATTCTGAAACACCTGAAACCTAGAATCCGGAGATCAAAAATCCTTGAAATGTCTAATGTTGGACACGCGTTGAGATTGTTTATTTTCAAATGAGTTTACATACTTGGGCCGGTTTGGGCTGCCCTTGGGCAAGTTTTGGCCGCCCCGCTTTCCAAGAAAGCGTTCTCCAAGTCACTACCTCTGAGTGCACAGGGCGCTGGAATGTCCCGTGCTGGTGGTTGCTGTTCGCTTTGTGTGATCCATCGTGCCCCATAGGTCAGCAATGGCAGTTTGAAGACAATTGCAACTACCCAGGAGGGGCCCCAGGGAAGAGTATGAATGTGGGGATAGCTCCTCGAGCACAGTTGGTGGGGCATGGTGCCAAGGTTGACATTGCTCGAAAGATGCGCTTTGGCGGCAAATTGCGGCGGCATATTGCGGCGGCGCATTGCGGGGGGTTGCAGGGTGAGGTCCATGGGCACCGTTGAAGTTCATGGCACCCGCAGTTTAAACTTGTGGCCCAATGTGACCAGGAGATGTTCGTTCAGTTTTGGTTGTTGCCTCTGTTGCAAATGCTGACTCCCATCCTGAGGCAAGAGCAGAAGGAAGCGCAAGGGGTGGAAGATCAATACGCCATCAGAGCGGACAATGCCTTCAGGCATCGGGGGCTAGGGACTGATGGGATGAATTGGAAGCCTTGCGGCTTTGCAGTTTGTGCCGGCCCTGGGAATTTCGCTGGGCATGTGCAAACTAGCTTTTTTGCTGCCTCCTCTTGAAGTGAAGGGTTTCAAACAGGCTTGAGATTTAGTTTTTGGATTTGCTCGCTTGCGTTGGGGCTTTGCCAGTTTCAAGTGTGCCCTCTGCCCAAAGGACACGCTCGCTCTTTTCTTTGAAATGTTGGCAAGTTTGCACAGTCCATTTCGACATATTTCAGGCACCTGAACAACTGACAACTGTGAAGTCTCATCACTCACTGTGGGCATCCAATCCTTGGCATCATTGTTTGATGCCCTTGTTCGAGTCGTGAGAAAGGTAGCCCGCGAAAGACCGCTGCCCATGTTGGGTGGTCCACATTTGGGGGCATGTTTTCAATCCACTTATCTTGGAGTTCCTTCATCTACCCATCCATCCATCATCCATCCCTCCCTCCCTCCCTCCCTCCCTCCCTCCCTCCCTCCCTCCCTCCCTCCTCCCTCCCCCCTCCCTCCCTCCCTCCCTCCCTCCCTCCCTCCCTCCCTCCCTCCCTTCATGTGTTCATCCCGTCACTTGTTCCTTCCTTTCTTCGCCCCAGGCCGACTCAGAAGTTCTCCGCGCTGAAGGACTTGTTGGGCGGCATGTGACATCTCATGCGGGCCGGCCGAGTGAAACTCCCAGGCGTAAGTTCGGGGCTGAGGCCCAAGACGCAAGACGCGACAAATCCTGATTTTAAAGTAAACGGAAAAGAAAGGCGCAAGCAGAGCAAAATCTGCTTTGTGTCAAAACCAAGGGGCCTCTCTGAATACCAGCTTTCATGCGGGAGCTCCTTCAAATGCCGCTTCTGTTGACTCGACGTCGGGCGCGGCCAGAACCCGGGCACATCTCACCATTGGGCCAGCCGGGCTTGCAAAGCAAGCCAAGTGCGGTCCCATGCGGTTCCATCCGACCGATGGCCAAGCCGTGAAGCCGCGAGTTGCAAGTCTGCAGGGGCGAAGCTGTGGGTTTGTGGGCCAGAACCTGTCCACTGTATTTTGGCAAATTAAATAACTCTTGTTCACCAATCAATAGCGGAAAAGACACTGACAAAGGGCAATCAGACAACTGCGGTCCAGGGACGGTCTTTGCTTGCCCTTGCCAGGTGTCGATGGGCTCCGAGCCACTCTGATGCAGACGGTTAACGAACAAGTCCCTGGGTGAGCGCCCTTGGCTTTGTGCATGTACAGTGCCGCGGCCGAGGACTGCGACGGGGCAGGTGATGCAAGCGGCAAGGGCCTCAGAGCCGCAGATCCCCAGAGCAGAGCGTCGCGTCACGAGTGCCAGGCGGGCGAGGCTCCCGTGCCGGCAGGGGTGCTAAATGGGCGGGCGGGAGCAGGGTTTCAAATCTGAGCGATGCCTAAATCTCTGGTGACACCCAAATTCATTTCACTTCAAATAGCCCCACACAACAGAGGTTCCCATCAAAAAGGCATGCCAAAGCGGCCAAAGAACAGGGTGCTTCATTGTTGTGGAGCCTTAATTTTCCACGAGCATTTTCCACGAGCTGGGCGGAACATGAGGCAGTCTCCCACAGACTAGTAGTGCGGCGCTGATGCGTCACGCTGCGATGCATGTGGAGGTTGTTTTTGATCTGCGCTGGTACAGGCCAAACACCCGAATGGTTGTTTGCCGGTGTTGCTCGTGTGTTTGAGCTCGGCCGCCAGCCAGCCGGCAAGCAAGCAAGAAACCCACGTAAGCGCACAAGAAGTTAAATGTGAACAAATACCACCCACACCTGATCCCACCTCAACCAAAGCAACAAGCCCAGAGCGCCGCAGGTGCTACAGCGAATCAAACTCAATATAAAAACACATCCTAAACCAGCTGAACTTACACGCGAGCCTCCCGGAGCCGACCCTAAACCCGCCGCCCCCGAAGCCCACCCCAATCCAACCTCCACCCCCGCCATAATTCAACCCTCAACCCATCCTAAGCCAACCCCAAATCCTCGAACTTTGGCGGTAGCCCAAGCCAATTCTACCTTATTTCAAAACGGTTTCACCGACCATAAGGCCACTCCGAACCATCCCAAAGCAGAATACGACCCAACGCCCAGCCCATCTAAATTTGAGCCATCTCCCAGTGCGCACTTCAGGGCAGGGCTTGGGCAAAAGAAGAAGGAAGAGCAACAGAAGGGGAGGAACGCCGCCGCGGCTCGTCAAAACGCACACACGAACACAGAGAAAAGGCGACCTGAACAACCGAACGAGCTTCTTCTCTCAGTCATTTTCGGGACGGCTTCCTTGGCTCCAGCGGAGTGGGCCCATTCCGGCCTCGGGGCGCAATGTTGGGCCCGAGCCTGGTCTTTGACAGCGAGAGGGGCCTCACGTCAGTAGCTCAGCTGGGAGGGGTTCGATGAATCTGTGGAAAGCGTGAGATAGCAGAAATCGCACGGCAAGGAAGTTGCGATGCCACCAGTTTGATGGCTGAGTCGGGCCAGGCCAGGGACTCCGCTGCCAGTTTCCGTGTCTGGGAGAAGGCCCAGCGCAGTGGCCTCCTTCATCAAGTCGGAGAAGACTGAGGACATGGTTTGTCCGGATTCATGCGGCTGAACAGTGCTGCAAGGCCCAGTTCGTGCAATGGAAGAACGTCACCACCTGCACACAAATAGATGACACAGGGCCGAGCCCCAAACATCCGTTTGGAGAATGCGGGTTCGCCAAAATCCGCTGGGTCTGACGGCTACCTTTAACAAAGGTGGCTGAGACGTGCGGGCCGGTGAAATTTTGCCCAGTCACGCCGTTACGCAGGAGAGCTCAGAAGCCAATGGGCGGCTTGCGAAGCAGAAACTTGTCGCGCTGCAAGTTGTCCCTTGGCTGACAGGACGCAAGGGAGAGATGTTTCTGTTTGTTTCTGTTTACGCTCCCCGTTTGGGAAGACCTCTCAATTCTGAGAGTCTATGCATTTCCGTATTTGGGACTGTTACTATTGCCGTGGGAGAAGATGAATTGTCAGATCCTCTCAGGCCTCAGGATGTTCAGCTGCTTGTGAAGGCCCTTGTGGTAGGTTTATGTCATCCAGAAAATCGTCTTTTGAACCCTGCACGCAAGCATTTCGAGTTAACGGATGTTGCGTTTTGACAGCCGCTATTTTCTGAAAGTTTTTCAGCCGGATCCAGGGAGGGGGCTATCCGAGCAGCAGATCCCAGGTGCAGAGCACATGGTTCTCCAATTGCATGGCGGTGGTCGTGCTGTGTCCGGGTTGCACATGCGTTTGCCTTCACGTGTGGCCTTGCATGGGGGCGGGAAAACGGGGAGCGGGGGGAAGGCAGTGAGAGAAGATGATGCTTCTAGGAGGAATGACGCATGATTTCACAAGCCAGATCTCCCCAATGGTTTCCCAAGTTATGTCTGATTCTTGGCAATAACGAAGGACAAAGGCGCCCCAAAAAGTCTGGGGAGTTAATAATAAGCAAACGAGGTCTTGAACTTAGTGAAACATGGCGCAACAGCGCTTGCAAGCTTGCCAGTTGCTTCGATCAGGGGAATTCCGACAAAATTCGGAACCTTGCCTTGCGTATGTCTTTTTGTTTCGTCCTGCGCGGAAGCGCCGGGTCGGAGGTGCTGCGCTTTTTGTTAGGGGGGGTGTTGTCAAGAAACAGTTTCCCTCACCATCTCGTGATGCACAAGCCGCGCAAGCTAAGGCTGGATGCGTATTCAACTTGTAGCGATGTGGATGCGAGAGCAGCTGGAGGGGAAGCTCCGATCGGGCTCAAAGTGCTCTCCGATACCTGCCTTGGGTTGTACTCCGCGGAGCTGGTAGCGTTGCCGCTGGGCCTGATGTCCTCGTGGCTGAGGAATTTGCCTTGGTTTTTTGTACCTTTTGTGACTGGTTCCCCGTGACTTCCCCGTGAGTCACGGTCTCAGGCTGCTGCTGAAGGGCTGGGTGATCCTGAAGGACTGGATGACTTTCACAGATGCTGAAGCTTGCCAAAAGGAGACGTTTCGTGACATTTTGCAGGCACCAACCGTGGGCCCATGCTGTGACAAGACTATGCTTGCTTGCTTGCTTGCTCGCTCTCTCGCTCTCTCTCCCTCTCTCTCTCTCTCTCTCTCTCTCTCGGCTGTGATTTTGTATATCCACATGTGTATGCACGCATTAACTTTGTTTCGTGACTCCCCGAACAGGGCCCTGCGCTCGCGCACATTGACAAGGATGGCAAGTGGAAAACCAGTTTCGGCATCATGGCAGGGCTCCAGGGCACAAAATTTTGGACCCCATAGAAGTATCGCAATTGCCAAAGCCTCCACCACCTTGTCTGAGTCATGCGCTGGTGAACGAAATTGTCATGGACACCTAACAGTGGGTGCAAATAATGTGAACGGCAATATGCACCCCCTCTTTAGCAGAGTTCACCGGGCTTCGGTAAGCTAGGGTCGTGAAGCGCGTGACCCGAACGCTAACCTCACTTACCCCCCCACCCCGGAAACTGAGCGTCTCAGAGGGGTCGACCCCTCAACGTTGAGGTGTAGACGGGCAAGGTGGAGTTATTTTCAGGAACCATCCAGAGTTCTGTTCGAAAGGTATTCGTGCTTGTTATAATGAATGTCCAGCATTCTCATTGTTATGGCCCTTGAGTCCATCAACGTAGCAGCGACCTGTCATGCGCTGAGCGTACTTACAGACGCAGGCGCAGAGATGCGAAGATGCAGAGATGCGCAGAGGCGCAGTCGCGCGGAGACGCGCGGAGACGCACAGAGGCGCGCAGAGGCGCGCAGAGACGCGCAGAGACGCGCAGAGACCCACAGAGACACACAGAGACACACAGAGAGACGCAGCGACACGCAGAGACACGGCAGAGACACACCCACCACACACACACACACACATACTAACCACGCACACACTTGATGGAGACATAACTGCGAAGGCGCACCCTGAAACGTAGGAAGACACATGCGCGGAATCAGGTTGGAGTTTTGGCATGGCTCACTCAGGTCGTCTTTCCCGACAGTCGGCATCCTCTTCAACGGAGTGCCAGCACCCAGCTGTCAGTGCTTCACGCCGTTGTTCGCCGTGGGCGGCACCCGACTCCCGGAAGCAATGAAAAGCAAAAAGGCGAAGGACCCCTTAGCAACAGGGGCACACACACACACCGCCCGAAAAGGGAGCACAGCAACCGAACCAAGGGAAAAAACAAAAGAAACCCAGAACAGACCAAAACCCGAGAAGCAAAAAGGGGAACCCGCGCCTTCGTCATTCCGTGAGATTTGCGCCTACTGCCGTGGCCTTCAGGCCGATCAATTAGATTCACCCGAAGAGGCCGGTAGCGCTGGACACCGTCTTGGCGTGTAGATCGATCAGGCCATGGAGCGGGTAAAAGCGAAACACGATCCGCATCAGCCGTGAGTGAAGGTGCCGGGCATGTAGGCGTAAGGGTAGCTGTGGCTGTAGCGTTGATGGCTGCTTCGGGAAGAGGTGGTAGCAGCGGTGGACACGGCAGCGGCCTGGAGAGGTGCTCCATGGCATCAGGAGTGGCCTGCGTCGCAACCGAGGACACAGCTGCAGAGCGGGTACTGGATTGAGGAGCAGCGCAGCTCGAGGGCGCCAAGCAAATGTGTTCTGAAGGCGATCGGGGCAACGGAAGGCTTCTAGGTGCTGATAGCACAGGTGAAGAGGGCATGGGCGCATCAGCCTCTTCTGCTGGGTGAGGTTCGGGTTCCACATGACGAGGGAGGTTGTTGTGACGGCGCTGCCGCACCAGGTCCTGGACGTTGTGCCAGCCATTGCGTTCGCAGTCCCGGTAGTACGTCGCGAGGGAAGGTCTCAGACCGGTCCGACTGCGCTTTTTGTTGAGGATCTTTATCTGCTCGTTTCCCGTGGAGAAGTTGATCCTGTACTCCGCCCTGGGTTCATTGCCGAAGATGAAGCCGCCAATCATGATGATAGCGAGGGAGGGCGCTGGCTTGCTAAGTGCTGATAGCAATAAGGCTGAGCGGTGAAAGAGCTGTGCGCTGACAAACAAGAGGGAGGGCCACCGGGGACCATCAGGGGACTAGAAACATAAAGGAACCAGACGGGGCCCCGCAAGATACCAGCCCCAAACACAAAAGAACAAAAGGAATCGCAAGGGCCAATAGAAACTCATTTCATGCAGGGCCGTTGTGGCCAAGGCCTTGTAGGAGTACTTCGACTTGATGTCGTTCTAGTGGTCGAGGAGCAATCGTGTCTCCGGAGTGGAGACAACCGGCGTGGTGACGGCGCCACCGAATAGCGCTAAACACTTCAGCGCGGAACGCCATGAATTTTGAAAGGGAAGGCCGAACGTAAAGCACACGCGAGTCGAGCACGTTTTTCAAAACTCAGAACCTGGGGAACAACCACAGCGACAAAAAAATAGTAGGCAAAGGCTCAGAGCACCAAATCCGCACCGAGGACCGTGATGAACCCCCTTTGAGACCAAAGGTGTCGGGGGTCCCCACTTGACCGCGACGGCCTTGAGCTGGTTCAACGAGTCGCCGGATAGCTCTTGCTTGATGAGGTCCAAGTAGATGGACTGGATTGGATCGTGCACGTTCTTGCATCCAGGTCTTGAACACCCTGTCGGTGAGGGCCGAAGGGAACAATTTGCTGACCTTTAGGGTTGCCCTGCCGGAGGTGATCTCGGTTTCGGCGTCCGGGGTCTTGCGCTTGGGGGTCGGAACTGGAAGATGTAGGAGGCTCCGAAGGTGCCGAAGTCGTTGCAAAACCTGGTGTAGGGGTCCAAGGTGTGGTGAGGACGAACCAGGCTGTTTTTCGGGTGTGAGCTCAACGCCCTTGTTTCTGTAGCGCTCAATGGTCTTTATCTTGTGCAGGCATGAGTTCCACAAGCCGGGTGGTCAACGGCTCCGTAAATCTGGGGGTTTTCCACCATGATGAGAGTAGGCCGTGCGGTCGATGTCAACCTCCTTTTCTCGAAGGGCCCCCAAGCATGCTAGTGTGAGGAGAACTGCTCGAAGCAGGCGAACCAACGGGATGTCCAGGACCGGTGCTTCCCGGCGCGGCGTGACTATAGGCTGAGCTGGATGTGCCGAAAGAGCTGCAGACCTTGAACTTCACGCTACGTGTTGGCTTGGCCTTGGCAGGGATCGCGGGTAGTGGTCCTGCCGATGGAGACGGAGTCGGCAAGTCAGCCTTTGGTGCAGATTGCGGAGGAAGAGCCCGAGACGGAGACTGAGTGCTTGCTGCTGGTGAACGGCGAGGTGTGGGCTCTGCCGACAAGGTAGATTTGGGCGCCATGCGTCCTGCCGAGTTGGAGCCGGACATGGGACCTGCGTCAGGGCGCCTCATCAGGGGCCGTCACAAGTGAGCCAGATATGCGTGACGGTATGTGGGTCTGAAAAGGAAGGTCGAGGAACACGGTCGGAGTCCACGCGCCCGCGCGCCCGCGCACGCGCACAAGCACAAGCGCACACGCACGCGCGCACATGCGCGCGCGCACGCGCACAGGCGCACACGCACACGCGCGCACACAGACGCGCGCGCAGACAGACACAGACAGACACAGACAGACACAGACAGACACAGACAGACACAGACAGACACAGACAGACACAGACAGACACAGACAGACACAGACAGACACAGACAGACAGACAGACACAGACAGACACAGACAGACACAGACAGACACAGACAGACGCAGACAGACACAGACAGACGCAGACAGACACAGACAGACACAGACAGACACAGACAGACACAGACAGACGCAGACAGACACAGACAGACGCAGACAGACACAGACAGACACAGACAGACACACAGACAGACACAGACAGACACACACACACAGACAGACACAGACATACACAGACATACACAGACATACACAGACATACACAGACACACACACACACAGACGCACACACACACAGACATACACAGACACACACAGACGGACATAGACGCCACACACACGGACACATGCACATGCACATGCGCATACACACATGCACACACACACACGCACACACCGCACACACACACACACACACTCAAACTGCACACGCACACACCCCACGCACACACCACACACACACAACCACACGTGGACACACACACACACACACACACACACACACAAACACACAAACACACAAACACACAAACACACAAACACACAAACACACAAACACACAAACACACAAACACACAAACACACAAACACACAAACACACAAACACACAAACACACAAAACACAAACACACACACAAACACACACACAAACACACACACAAACACACACAAAAACACAAACACACACACAAACACACAAACACACAAACACACAAACACACAAACACACAAACACACAAACACACCAACACACAAACACACAAACACACAAACAAACACACAAACACACAAACACACAAACACACAAACACACAAACACACAAACACACAAACACACAAACACACAAACACACAAACCCACAAACCCACAAACCCACAAACCCACAAACACACAAACACACAAACACACAAACACACAAACACACAAACACACAAACACACAAACACACAAACACACAAACACACAAACACCCAAAAACACAAACACACAAACACACAAACACACAAACACACAAACACACAAACACACAAACACACAAACACACAAACACACAAACACACAAACACACAAACACACAAACACACAAACACACAAACACACAAACACACAAACACACAAACACACAAACACAACAAACACACAAACACACAAACACACAAACACACAAACACACAAACACACAAACACACAAACACACAAACACACAAACACACAAACACACAAACACACAAACACACAAACACACAAACACACAAACACACAAACACACAAAACACACAAACACACAAAACACACAAACACACAAACACACAAACACACAAACACACAAACACACAAACACACAAACACACAAACACACAAA